ACCCCCCCCCCAATCATCGGTGAACGAAACTGTGGCAGCTACAACCAGTGTACGACCAGTACGCGGTTCTTACAGCTGACAATGATGATGATGATGATGGGTCCAGACTTTCGACCAATCGGATCTCGTCTTGATGCCGGACCGGCAAGCGTCCCGGATTCCTGGCCAGTCTTGCGTGGGATGGACTTCTCGGCCAGCAGCACCTGCGTGCGAGCGGTAAAGAGGGATCCGTGTGGAATTCCGCCTAACAACTCGGAACCAAAATTTCAGCGACTGAGATGCCAATTATACCTGTGAAGAGTTTACGTATTTAATACTTTCTCACCCCAAATCTATTAGACTTTCGTCACAAGACATTCAATTGTTGTATCCACTTGTGAACAGGGGATCCTCTTTTGATGTCTGATGACTCGAACGCACCATGTCCATAATCAACGAAGGATGTAGCGCAAGAATCCATTTGGACTGGGGAATACACACTTTAACAATTTTGTCCCATTCAGATTTAAGCGACTGAGGAAATGGCATTCCTAGTGGATGTTTTTGGAATGGACGTTCAGAGAGAGTTCCGTGGAGATATAAGCAAACTAGATCTTGTATGTACGTGAATTACAGTGTGCTCGGAAGCACATTTATCCACGCTTGTTTTCCGAACTTGACCCAGTGAAATTCATTGAGGTCTTGAGTGAACCTTTGATGAGGCCATTAGGACACAGTCGTACGACACGTCCTCCCTGGTGAACAACCACCATAAGTTTCTTGAATGTATTGCTCTTTCGAGACAATAATGCACGTCAGAATGGCTATTAAAGCCCGATGACTGGTACATATAAGGTTGATGTAAATTCTTGGGCCGCTGTTCTGAGTCTGGTACTTGAATTGCCGCCAGTCAGTGTTTACCATCCAAGGCTTCCTTAGGAGGCAGATTCCCCTTCTGACAAAGTATCCTCGTAGGTGGAGTTCCCAGGTCCGAACTGACTGCACGAAACAGGTTTTTTGAGGTACCTGAGGTTCCAATGACATCTGTATTGCACATAGAAACCGCAGTTCCTCCACCCAAGAGGTAACGGAAACGTGGTCCATCCATTAACATCATATCAACACTGATAACTGTCTTTCAAGGCGGGATACCTGAAACGAAGTGAACAAAGCCACTGGAGCTAACGCCGCCAAAAGCGATTTCCTTCCAGAGTGCTTGTGAAAACAGTTATCCACGATATACGGTCATTTTCTCCCGTTATTGACATTTGGCTTAGTGTATGAAATAGGGACAAACGAATTTCCGAGACTCTACAATATAGCGCTTCACTAGAGTCCGAACATCAAATCACTCTCGACCGTTAGTTTCAATCACTCATGTCGGTCATTCACCATCTAATGCCGTGCCCATTTGGTGATATCAAAATATCATTGTCCACGCCCTCCTGGAAAGGATGGGGCGCGATGGCCCAAGTGGTTAGAGCGCGAATTTACTGACCGGAAGGTCCGTGGTTCGAATATGACCTCCGCCACTCGACTTCCCCTGTCTAGGCTTGGGCAACCTGGCAGTATCCCAGCCCTCGTGCTTCCTTCGGGTGACATGGCAGCTAGGCACCGAAGGGATGCTACAGCTGGACGCTTTCTTTCTTTCTTTCCTGGAAAGACCATCCCAGAGAACAACTTAGAAGTGATTCTAGCTGGTGTTATTGATGGCTAGTACAGTATTTTGAAATATCAATTGTGTTTGTTTCACCAAATAGGATCCATGAACCAAGCGAATTATGAACGAGTAGGCAGCTCCGATAGTATCATCATCCCACAGCATGACATCAGTTTTCAACACCGATGCTTCACTGGCGTAGTCGTGAATGTCATGGTTGTACGAGGGCTGGGATACTGTCAGGACGCTCACACCTAGACAGGAGGACGATTAGGGTCCTCAACCAAAGTCTTTGACTCAAAAGCCTAACCGCAAGGCAGCGGCGTTTGGCGGGAAATGCAAACCCATTACCATTTCTACTGAACGAGTTGCCACATGTTCCTATCCCCAACCTGGAGAGCCAGGAGACTGTGTTCGTCAGATGTCTAACCATCGACTAACCAGGTATGAGAGACTCTGAGTGTCACACGGACACTCCCCAGTACAGCTCAATGGATCGCTGAGGTGCGCAAACCGTCACACCATGGTAAGGTCCAGTATCTTCGTGACGGCTCCGATAGTATGAAACAAAACAATCTTTATAATTCAATGAATGTTCACAAAGCTTCGCTGTGCAGCGTTTTGAATGCGAAAGGGTATGACGGAATTGTGACAAGCAGTTCATAAAAGGGATGGGCCAACCCATATGATAATTTTTGACCCGATCCGACAGTTCCGAACCTTGGAGTGCTTCCTCTGAAAGCGGTGACCAGTTCACCGGAGTGTTGGAAACTACACAGCACCGTGATCACGTAGAGAAGGGTATCCAAGAGGATGGGCTACGATGACCCATTTCTTCCCTTCCAAGTAGGGTGGTGCGCTAGAAAATAACCGCCGCGGACGAGTTCAAAAAGTGGCCGGTGCTGATGAATGATGTCACTACGATTGTGGTCGGGCATTCGGAATATTGTTGATGGACAGAGGCAGGGATGAGTGGTTTAGAACGACTCGTGACCGTAACCACGCTTGCACAACTTGGAGCGTTGTGGAGAGTTGGCCGTTTTCACGCTGCGTTCGAATCTTACGGTAATGTTGATAACAACGGTTTCTTCATGGTGAGCGATAGATGCTTAGACACTCTATAAACGAGGTCTAGATTTTTCTAGTGCACTAAGGTTGCTGAAAATTCATCGACAGCCCACGACCGGTTTCGCCCTTCTTAAGGCTCATCAGGTAGTCGCGGTCCCCGAGTTTCCGCCAACCTTATGTCTTACTTGAAACCAAAATTGCACGAAATTAGCGAAATACACTCATTTGCAAAGTAATTTGGTTTTGCGAGAGACTCACCTGGAACCCAGTTGAATCACTTGTTTGTGATGTTTCTAGGCAACTGAATGTGCTGCACTAGGTCGCCTCATGTTCCAGTCGCTACGATATTCGAGATATCGCGATACATGTATAAATTTGTAATGTACTACTCATATTCCGTTGCCTGGAAACATCACAAACGTGAGAGTCAGCTGGGTTCCAGGTGAGTTTCTCCCAAATTAATTTGCAAATGAGTATACTTCGCTAACGTTTTACAAGCTTCATCATTTAAGTGTATATCATTGAAAACGGTGTATCTGAATTGTTTGCTCAAGAGGTTGGTAAAGTTGACTCTCCCAGAAAAACTCATCCAAGTAGGACCGACTGGGATGTGCTTCTTGAAGCCATCAGAGCAACTCGATGTGAACTCACACCTAAAGACCGCGAAACATATCTCCCCGCTACATTACCTGCAGTTAAAAAAAACAGGGAGAGATCATCTACTTGCCTTTCAAGGACATTAGCGTGCGAATTCAGACGACAATAAAATCAAGCTTTACATATACATGAAACGATGTTCCCGACATTGCCGTGTTGTGGGGAGGTGGTGTGTGTGTGTGTTGTGTGTACGTGTAAGTTAAATGCACAAGAAGAACGACAGATGATGATGATGATGCGTAAAAAGTTGCATACGGGTTATGTTAGGGGTATGGTAAAAGTTGAAAGGAAAATCAACAGTCCTGTTGTGTGTGTGGGGGGGGGGAACAGACATGGAAAAATAATTTTGACACGAGAAAAAAGTGAACTAACAAATGAATAAACGGTTATTACCATTCACGCAGAGAGAAATCAGGTAGTGGTACACCAAAAAACAATGCTATGCAGATCACATTCTTCTCACTGGAATAAAAGTGGATGTGAGTGAGATGAGAGAGGGTGAAGATAGATCGTTGTGCTCAGAATGCAGCATACGTTTGGTCTGTGTAGGTGGCTGAGGTGGGAAAAAGGTGGTGGTCATCCAGTCTATCCAATAAACTGGGCGACGGGGTGGTTAAGGCCTTTCAGAGGGAGGTGTTATGTGAACCGCATGTGCCACAAATGGAACCTGATTGGTGCAGCCATATGTTTATTGTGAAAACCTAGTGTTTCGGGCAGATGTGATGGACGTGTCAAATGGAAGCAGTGATTATCCGGGCGGTGAAAATGAACGAGGGTGGTTAAGTCCTGCAGCAAAGCAATATAAGAGACTGGAGTGTATGTTGTGCTTGTACCCGTTGGAGTCTTTTCTAACACAAGCTACATGATTGGTTATCCATCGCGTTTTTGTCGCGGACCACGCTGAAAGAAAAAGATGAAATGTTCATTACAGGCCACAAAGAGCCAGTAAGTCAAGAGGGCGGCTCCGAGGAACAAATGTTCTTTTCTGTATACAAAAAAATACGACAATTCAAGGAAGGAAGTGACCAGAACACCAGATAATTCTAATGGAATGAACCTTTTTGGTGCAGGAACAAACAAGTTCGGACAAAATATTTCACGCACACGCACAAACTACTGTCCGGTGTTATTAGTAACCAAGTGTTATCCATGACTTGATTTCGCCATCATTCACCAGTGAGAGCAGTACACCAGAAGGGAAACACCCTGAATCCTTCACTGGTGCAACTGAAGGATCGCCTCCCAGCGATTAGAACCAGGGACTGTGTCTATAAGATTAAATACAACTGCACTATGGTCTGTATAGAACAGACGGCAAGAGAACTTAACATCAGAACTGGCGAGCACGAGTGAACGCCGAGAAACGCAGATTAACATGCAGCATTACTCATAGACTCAGCAGTGGCGGAACATGTGTCGGACATGGGACGCAAAAAAAAGACTTGGAAAATGTTGAAGTTTTGAAGAGCGGGCTACGATTCACGCCACAGAGACTGATGACCGACCAAACATTCCACTATCAACAGGTTAGGTGTAGAATTGGTAGACATGTGGAGAATGGCTTTGGATCAGCCGTCACGGTTATCAGCGAAGACGAGTCAGAAACAGAAGTAGCTGAGAAGGGAACTGCATGAAACAAACACGACCAAAAATCTAACCTAACGCCCCCAACCAAATTGTCGTACCATATATAAACCTACAAAGACTAACAAGATATACCGGTGGCACCCAAGATAAAGAATCAACTGAATTGCCCTGAACCGAAAGATTGAGGATCCAAACCTGACCAAAACGGAAGTGAAATTTCCCCGACTCATCAGCCGTAAGATCTAGGCAACCACACTAACCGACAAGACCTTTTAACCGACATTCAACATTGTGCTAGTCGGAAAAGATCTTGCTGATTGCTGATTGGTATCTGCTAACTTGGTAATCTACTCACTTTGCCTGAAGAAGCTTTTGTGTCGAAAGCAAAACATGAAAACAGTCCAATTTGGGTTGACGGAAACTCGGGGATTGCGCCCACCTGATGAGACCCAAAAAGGGCGAAACAGGTCGTTGGTTGTCGAAGAGTTTTCAGCAACCTTGTAAGTAGTTTCCTTTATGAAACATAACGCAGTTATAAAACCACCAGGTGTTCACCAAACCCTTAGGAACCGCTCCGGTGATCCCCTTCAACAGCCAGGCCCGTGCTAGACAAACATGCAAATTCATTGTAGGAAAATGGGATAAACCAAATGTGAAGAAAGAGAGTGAGTGACACATCAAAAGCTGGGATGTAAAAAAATAATCGAGAGCCTGTGACACACCTTGTTCGTTGTTCACTCACAAGGAGATCTCGCTGCTCAGTCAAGAGTTCAGGTAACCACAACAGGGTAACCAAACTTGGGCTACCAAAGTGGAACCGCCTAATGCTGAGCCCTGTTGTCACTATTGAACAGATGGAGATTGTGTTCACACATTGACTATTACATTTGTTTTCCTGTAACCCGAACATCACACAGAGGATGACACGAGTCGCCTGAATTCATTCCCCAACAATCTAGCGGATGATACGGCAAACAAACGTGGCAGGATCCACTTTCCTTGAACAACCAGCTGGTTACGAGGCGCCGTTGAAATCTAAATCCAACAGTCCAATGAATGGGTGGGCTCTTATTTCAATTATCCGAAATACTACACTCACTTTCTGCCTTTCTACGCCAGCGGAAACGGGTTTCGTGTTTGCACCGGGCTGATTATTGGGGTTATAGTGTTGGGGACTGAGGACGGTATGATGTACAGGTAACACGGGATTTGGCATAGCTGACATGTTGGGAAGGTTGGTGGAGGCCGGGTCCGGATGAGCAACATAGTGCGATGTTGCGGGGGCTGGATGTCGTTGATTGAACATGCTAACTGGATAGGAGGACTGAGCTGGATGCATTGGGCTTGGTAATAGACTGTTCACGTTACCCGCCTGAATGGGGTTGGTCGATTGAAAGACTTGGTGCTGGGAAGGGATACCATAGGGTGGCGCCTGTGAATGTGAATACAAAACACGGGAATCTCGCTGTTCGTTCGCGACTTCGTACTCTTCTAGGCGTTGCGTCAGAGCTAGCTTCTGTTGGATGGCCAGGCGGAGTAAAGAATTCACAGTTCGTTTCTCATCTTCAGCAAGCTGAAACAGATAGCAGAATTGTACCAAACGAGTTTGCATGGTCAGAAAAAACTATGGTAGTTCTGCACGTTAAACCATCACTACTGCATGGTACCTTGAGATTTGGCTGGGGATCGATCTATTTTGAGTGACCAGTTCAATAAAGATTATGCATTGCTCGGAAATACCCGCAACATTTTCCCCATGGAGAGATGGAAATGTGCTATCCTACTAGATTTTTGGGAGGTGGGAGGGGAAACTAATCAGAACCTAACGAGGTCGTATCTCTAAATGGGTTTTGATACATAGCTATCACCCGAAGCGAAGCGACAGCGTCTGAAGAGACTTTGAGAGGAAGCCAGCCAGTGTATATAACAACTTCGCGTGGAATGCGACTTGTAGGGTTGGCAGTTGAACACTATAGCACTCGCCACGTGACTAGCCTGTGACGGTCACAGCTTTCATAGCTGTGATTTCCCTTTTTTAGCAGATTACTTATGGGCCGTGGGTAATAAGGAAACTTCGAATTTTCAACCTGTCAACTGGTACGATGTGTGCAGACCTCGACCGCATCGGGATAAAAAAAACTCATTCGTCAAATTACCACCCGTAGAATGCATTGTAAACGAATTGGAAACATGTTTGAACCCTTCTACTTGAATTGCCTGTCTTTCGTCTTTTGTCGGATTATCGCAACTGTTTATTTCATCGGAATTGCTAATTCCTTAGAGGAATCCAAAAGCTCAGACTTTATGTCGTCTTAGGCTGCCGCCAAATAATTCGAATTGCCCGGGTCTGCGATTCCCAATCCCCTTTTCTATCGAATGCGAGCTTTGACTGGCGATTTACGGGATGGACAGTTAAGCGCTGATTTACGTCTCGCACTCATCGCCGCCTGCTATGATAATAGTCGCTGTTTATGTCTGTTGTCGTTGTGGGTAAGTGCCGTTGTAGAAGAATTTCCTCTTGCCTGGAGTCACACGTGGACGCTATCAGCCTGGTCACGAACCACGTGACCAGGATCACTCCGCTTCTGCCTACGTGTCCGAGGTCATTCTCCAATCGACCCATGTTCATTTGTATCTGACTTGAATGCAGCTCGCGCATATTCGGGATTGTGATGTTTTGCAACGCTGTACGCACCTGGCAACCTGAAATTCGTTTTGTCTGTCCGATATGTTTACGTCCATTCGCAACAGTTGAAATATTCCTCCCTAACAGTATGACGGGCCTGACCGACATCGGTCCTGAGCTCCCTCTGAATACTGTTTTGCTTGCCGTGAGTACATTTAATGTGCTAACCTGTTACTACCGCCACAGTGGCTATTATAACCGTGCTGTACATAACTCGGAATTGCTACAGTTTGTTATTACTAATCATGTGTTCGCATTGATGCTGCACCAGAAATGGCATGTCTGAAAAACAGATCCGTAGTTCATACAGCCCCAAATGCTGTTCGCCTTGCCTGCATCAACACTGATGTTTCCGTCGCCTAGTGTCCCAAGTACAGATGTCCCTACCGATGTTTTTTCTAACTTCGGGTCTGTGTGAGTTTGAGCAGCAGCAAGAGTCGGTTCTGTGGAACCCGTCACACTGCTCCAAATTCTACAGGAACAGGAATATGACCGTGATAAAAGCACTCCATCAAGCGTGAAGGAAGTTTCTGAGTATGGCGTGGAGGTAATCTGGACCCTCTTCGTCTCAGATGGCATTGGACAGGAAAATGTTAACAAGGCTTCTGAGACAGAGGAGGACATTAGCAAGACACGATCATGTATCATCTATCAGGAGACTTGCGCTGCAACTATCCTAAGCGCGTTCCCACCTTAAACAAGAATGACGCACAAGCTAAATACTTTTGTGGAGCTTTCAGCAACCAAAAAAACTTTCTCAAGGCAAATTGATCCCGTTCATTTTGGTAGAACAATGGGACTGTAGAAATACTGCCTATCAGTCGAGTAAATTGTAACAGAGGAGAAAATGATATGAATGACCGACCGCTGAACCCCAGGGGGCGAGAAAACGTAACCTGCTGAAACTCACATTCAACTTGCGTTGTAACTCATCCATCTGTGTCACATACTCATCGTATCGTTGCGCAAACATGGCACGCAGTGAGGCGTAGGTGGCTGCGTCCTCCTTCAGCGTTTTCAACTCGTTGCGCAACTTTTGCATGGTATCCGTAACAATCAGCTTTTCGTTCTCATATTTTTGTTTCAAATTGGCCAGAGCAGTTTCGGCAGTGGCTTTATTCGCCCGCAGCATGTTTCGCAAAGCCACAACTTGTTCTCGCTTGGTCTCCACGGTTCCTTTCAGACGGAATATTTGTTGTTGTGCCTCTTCCAGGTCTAAGTTGCTTTGGCCGGTGGACTTTCGAAGAGAGAGACAAAAGGACCATATTCAATCGGTTAGCATTACATTGTGAAGTAATATAGTTGACTGCAAATTGAGGAAATGAGCTTGACNACCAGGAGGAACTGCCGAACCCAATGAAAACGGAAAAAGCAATCGTACAGTTGGAATAGCAGACGTCAATACATGCTTACACCGACAATGTGATTAGTCAATTTGAAATCAAAGAGAGCGGTTGTGCTCGTCGTTTAAAATTTGCATTTGCGCCCAAGCTAGCAAGTTTCGTAACCTATACAGCTGTTTTCACGACCTCCAATATAATGAGCCAAAAAAGGCGCTCAGCTAAAAGTCATCTGCTGATAAAAATCATCTGAACATCCGTGTTGTCTGTGTCGTTCAACTGAAGCACTCTTTCGGTGCCTAACTGCCACGCCACCCGAAGGTTGCACGAGGGCTGGGATACAGCCAGGTTGCCCACGCCTAGACAGAGGAAGTCGAGAGGCAGAAGGGGCGGGTTCGGACCGCGGACCTTCTGGTCAGTAGATTCGCGCTATAACCACTTAGGCTATCTCGCACCAGAAAGATAAAGGGAGATGCATTGAATAATAAGAAGGCGGGAGGTTTATCGCCTCGATTTTTTGCATGATTTGGGAGTGGGCTGGATGTGCAGTTGGGATTAAGACAAAAAAGTCTACCATAACCGAATTTCTCTAAGGATGTAGTCCATGAGGTGATCACGGCCATCCGAATCAAGAACTAGCCTAGGGAAATATGCATACAACACTGTTGTGATCGCGTGAGTCTGGTTGCTGCGCCATCCACCAGTGTGTCAAGACGCTAGGCAGCTTCAGAAAGCGGGACAACAGTACAACGCTACAACCATATTTACGAAACAAATTACCGGACATTCGACACCCCCGCTCTGGAGTGATCGCGATAGAACAGGAAGCGCTGAGTTGAAACGATCGACTTTGACTGTTAGATATCCAGAGTAACCTCTGTTGTATAGCCCGTTCGCTAAGTTCGACGCAACCTTCCGGTGTTCCGGAATACATGTATACATATAATTCGCGCACGCTAGCTTGGGGGCTCAAACCGAGAACTAAGCTGAGGAAAATACCGTTACTACAACAGTCTACGGCAGAGTAAATTGGTCCTGGCATCATCATTGGCTGTGAACTGCGTTCTGGTGGACCGATTCTCTTAGCGATTTCGAACTGGTCACTACCATCTTCCTGGATGGGGACCCCGAGACGGGCCACATCAATGGCTAGAGACATTGTCAGACATGGCCCAGTCGCGCCCTTAACGGCGCTCGTGCATTCAAGCTATTTCCTTCAATGCATAGCTCCTTTTCCAACCAAACCCCCACACACACCCCACTTGACAGCTCACTCTCAATGGAGGGTTTATGCACCAATTTATCAGCTCCCGCCTGCAATGAGCAGCTACCTACCCCTCCCCCCAAATCATCGGTGAACGAAACTGCGGCAGCTACAACCACTGTACGCGGTTATTACAGCTGACAATGAGGATGAGGATGACATGTGGAATTTAGAATTAAACAACTAGGAGGATCCACCACTGGTGGGCAGACCTTATCTTCATCTAGTAGTAATCTGTCTATTGTTTTTTGTAATACGGATTAAGAGATCACACGGTCTGAAAGCGAAAATGGAACGCCTTGTACTCTTCCATGTCCCACAGAGAAACCACCAATTTTTTTTTCATTGATTGGCGTTCCTTATTAAGGCTGCTTATTATTCTAGATTTTGTGTGTAAAAGATTGATGAAGAAGTGGTGTTAATGAAGGTATTTCTACTTACTACTCATCAGTAGATTTTTGAACGCACGGGATGACTTCGTTTGGGAGCACCACAATCCAGAACAGGTCTATCATCCGCGATAGAGGAACACATTTGGAAGTATGTTGAGAACCAAAGAAACTCAGTGTCAGTGGTAATTATTTTATTTTGCTGTGGGTGGTTGTGGGATATGCAGTGATCACATTCACACCAATCTCGTTTGAACAGTCGCCCTTCTGTGTTAGCGCACTTAATCTAATGAGTCCACCCCAAAAGTATACAAATTCGGAGTGAAATTTTGTAGAGTAGGGATTCTCATGGAGGTGCACCTTTTAAAAAGCAGCGAGGATTCCAGTCAGGCTGCCTGCTACTAACTCCAGCGATTTAGAGGAAACGCAATTAGGAAGCCTCATTATATTAGGGACTTGTACAGCGGAAGGGGAGAGGGTAACAACGCGGAATTACGGCTTTGTGCGAGTGATTGTCACCCGTGAATACTTCGTTAGGCCATGCATCGAATGCTCATTACAAAGGTAGCCATCATCAACTTCATCATTACGGACAGAAAAACATCACTGGTGCTTCGCCACCGTACAACCATAAGTTATTTGAGGGCCTCATTGTGAAAAAAAGGATAACAGTAGATGGGGCCGACCAGGAACTAACCTGCCACAATCATTCCGAGGTGGCTACACTTCAAGACACTCATTCAGACAATCTGGGTAGAAAATGACAAAGAGGACGCCGTTGACATTGAGTAGTAGCCATTTCTGGCAGTGTGCCTAACAGTGCACAGTTACGATCATGCACACCCCATCCTGGAAGGTCAGCCACACCGACCGTACCCGCACTTTTCGTGATAGCTTTCATACTCCTCTGCCAGATCACGAGTTAGCCACCTTTCCGTTTAAGCCAGTCACATAAGCAAACTCAGTTAGGGATGTGCGGATAGGTGAAAGTTCCAAAACACAATGAAAAAAAACAGCAAGGTTTCAAGCGGCACTATTACCTGATTAAGCAATTGGGTATACTGCTCCATGGATGTGTTGAGCAAGTGACGAAGCTGGTTGGCGATGAGTAGTTGTCCATCAATCCCAGCCAGGAGGGCATCTGTTGCAGGGCCACTTGCTGTGTCGTTTGCCAGACAGCGATCTCCCTCTTCTGTCGCTGCCGTGTGATCAGAAGCAATGGAACCCTCAGGAGAGTCTTTGCTGAAGTTGTTGAGTGGGATTCCTAGGCGTTGAGTTAGTTCTACAACCTACGGTGAAAATGGTATTGAGCGAATTAAGAGGGGGTATAAATGGTGTTTAAAACTAAAAACAATTCTACCGGGCACCATATGTCCTAACGTATATAACTGATGATTTATCCACAAGTAAGATCTACGGCAGACTGAACTGTTCTTGTTGTCTGGAAAAAAAGTCATCATGTAACACAGAAAATGGCTAAATTACATCGGGAACTAAAACAAAACCCAAGCCATAAGTACAGACGTATTACACTACTCACAAGGTTCTTGGAAATTCTTCGACAGCGCACGAAAGGCTTCATCCTCCTTGGGGCACAGTCCCCGAATCTCCGTCAACTTTATGTACTACTTGAATCCAAATTGCACGAAATTAGCGAAATACACTCGTTTGCAAACCAATTTGCTTTATAAGCTTGGAAACATCATAAAAGAGGAATTCAGCTGGGCTCCAGGTGAGTCTCCCGCAAAACCAAATTGGTTTGCAAATGAGTGCATTGAGCTAATGTGCAAGTACTTCTAACGACCGGCTACTTACCTGAGGCCGCAATTGAAACTCCGAAGTCTGCGTTGTGTGGATCCTGAAAAAACTGACTATCATTATGAGGAGACAGTAAAGTCGGTGTTGATACCAACGCTTCACTGTTGTACAATCATAGGGTTTAAATAATTAGGCCTTGAAGTAAAAATAGTGAATGAGGCGAGGATCTGTTGCTGCTCTATCCCAAACTTACACCTCCAAGCGAAAATGAACTAACAGCACGAACGGCAATTGACATCGTTTGGGGGGATATTCCATGCACTGTCTCCAGCAAGCGCAGGGGGATTATGAGGACCCCATCCTGGAAGGCAAACCATAATAGCAACATCCAAACTCTTCGCGATCCCTCTCACACCCTTCCGCGAAGTGATCTATTATCCGCTTCGGCGCTACTCTGATGGAGGCACAGAGAACAGTACTCACTTCGGCATGTGTAGCACATGGCCAAGCCACCGCAGGTGATATTGCCGGATGTTTTTCACGACTGAAATAACTGCTGCACACAACCAAATACATGTTTACTAGTTACTTCATTACAAATCCGTTAACACCACCCGACAATACCAATAATCTCGAGAAATCAGTGCTCAAAAACCTAAAGACACCTCACATCATCTGTTCGAAGAGGCCAGGCCCCACAACCATACAAGACAGTCCTTATTGTGGTCTGGTAGACACAACAGTTGATACCCAGTGATAGGCCTTTTTGACGCCACAAGTGACACGAATCAGAAAATCTGACCCGGTCCTTTGACAATCTTGCACTGACTTCATTAAACACTTCCGAGGCATATGAAATTCTCCACAACACACATTGCTTCCGCGTTTTCGAAACATTTCGCAGGTCTGGTGAATTAGGAAAGTATGTTTAGTTACGCAGTTTGCGGTTGTCAAAGGGCTGCGACCTGCCGGGTCGTTCAAATCTCAGTAGGACTATTAGGGTCTGTGGACCGATTGGAAGGAAATGATGGTCAATGGGAAAATACTAGAGCAGCCAAACCTTCAACAAACAAGATTCCAACGTGGACGACTGCGTTGCTACCATTAGCAAACCTGAATTGAGGACCAAAGGCTGTCGCACCTCTCGACAAAGGGTCGAGAGGATACCCAAACTATCACATGACGGTAGGGTTCAATCTCCTCGTGACAACCTACAGTCAACACCGGTAAAGTCGGAAGCTTTTTAGGGGAAATAAACCGGCGACCAATAGGCCAGTTAGCGACATGCCAGGTGCAAACCATTCATTGAGTCATACTGAATTATGCTTCCTACGAACACTACCCAAGCCATGCCACAGACAGTTGATACAATACAGTGCATCAGCCGCAGACAAACCGTGCAGGGTGTGGAAGGCAAGAAACCGCACCATTTCCGTGTAGACAAGGTTGGTGAAAAGACCACATTGAAGGAACGAAAGCCCACAGCTCCAGTCGAATTACGCCACCATCAAAACCGACGGCAGCCGACGCGTTCGTCTATGTAGATAAGAAAGCCAATCGTCAATATGATCAAAAGTCGAGTTGCAGCCCTTTCTGTTTAGCCCCGTTCATTGATTCGCAAATTTGCTTGCTCATGAACGATTCGAGTGGATGTTAGTTGATTTATTGTCCGTGTTCAACAGAGCGACCCGATGAGTCACTGTACGGTAGTTCATACGCCACCGGTTACGAGCGATTGGTGTGGCGACGGCCACGTGACTCACTGTGGCTTTGTATGATCGATTGTGTGTGTTGTGTTGGCGAGAATACACAAAGCCGTACACTGATGCAATATCCGTTGTAGATAAGAGCCTCATTATCAAGTGCTCCAGATGCCCCTCATCAGATCTAAAAGGCCGCTTTCCTTCCGCTTTCACACCCGTTTCGATTGAATTCCTAGGTGGCTTTATTCCGACAAAACTACTAAAATTGAGCGAGTACTGTGTGACAGTAGTCAGATTATTCTTACGTTTACTATGAGGCCGTAACTCGAATGGTCAATTCGTTGTAGACTAGCTTGTTTCGGATCAATTTACCACAAGACCAATTCAATCTAACATAGTCTGGATTATTGTAAGAAATTTTATTAAATGAAACAGAACCATTGTGTGATACTTTCATCACTTCCGAAGTGCACATAACCCTAAAAGGCAACCAGTTTTCTGGAGAGTCTACCGGTACATCGTAATGGTTTTTAGCGTGCAGCTCAAGGTGGGCTTTTTTGTGGGATTTACGACTTCAGGATGTCTAGACTAAACAACTGCAAAAAGGGGTTCTATCATGTTCTAAATCAAGCTTCTCTATGTAGTTGAACCATTATGTTCTGGAGAGCCAGAATCACATATCGGGTTATGGGCAGCGTGGACAGTGATAACTCAGAGACTAAAACACGAAGCTACTTCCTGCGGGAGGTCCACAGTTTGAACCTAGGGTTGACTGCGCCTATTTAGGCTTGAGCACCCTAGCACTACATCGGCTCGTGCTTCCTTCGGGATGCATAGCAGCAATGCAGTGAAAGAGTACTACATCCGAACGACTAATTCTTTGAAGCGTATTGTCATCTCAAGTTTTTGTTTTGATCCTATAACAGATTACTCGCTGAGTACTTTCCGTAAGTATGCATTTTGGCGCAGTAGCTGGATGTCTTGTTCCCACTCCGGTTGTGGACTAGCTTCGCAGTGCAGTACGCGCCTTGATTGTGATGAAATAAGTCGTGCGGTGGCCGCGAACAGGAATTACATGTGAATTAAAATGGCCCGTCATCGATCGGCCTACGATGAAGTTAGTATGGCAGACTGCCTGCATGCTTCACTCCCTCCAACTATCTAAGACAGCTTCGTGTTGCGTTTCTCTTCTAAAGCTTTCAATGCTGAATCATGTGAGTCACTGACATACTGGATGATGCAAACAACTTTCCAAGAAACACGAGACAGTAAGGTAAACAACGCACTACAGCCCGTTCGCAGCGTGACTAAACTCTGTTGGCACTCTGACGTTACCGTGTCAGCTGACCACCTCACAGATGAGTGAAAGCATGAGGAGGCTGAGAAGGTCTTTGAAAATTCATTGTGGTTTTGCCAACTGAAACACAGTAAGGGACTGTTTGATTCAGATGCCCACGCGTAGTTAATGTGCTACGCACGTGAGTACACCAGGTGAATGCTTTCGACCCGTTCGCGAACCGTTGATCCGAATCTTTAATGGAAACATATCACAGTGGAGACAACTGCGATCCGCTCAAGGTGACGGTCGAACCTAGAAATAAGTCATGCTCCCGATTGCTTTCGAGAAGCAAGTTAATTCGGCAGCCAATGTCACCAACACCTGCCTTGAAGTCAAGTTTACCCCCATAAACTTTGGAGATTACGTAGTGGCAACCTTCTGTGGGACTTTCGCATGCCGCAATAAAGTGAAACTTATACCCACCATGCTCGCGGTGCTGATCACTTGTTTTCTGTATGTTCACAATCAACTTGCGAATTTCCTTGGTTGAGAAGTGCACCCTCGAAAAAAAGCCGAGTGGCGCGGAGAAGGTGGTCCGTAAAAATCCTGCTGTCTCTCAAATGAAACCCCAAGCATACTACGGCGTCTGTGAAAAGCGAATCACCATCTGCTGACCAAACGGCTGGTCTGACCAGAGGACAAGCTCGAACCACCAATTTATGGAGCTGTCTATCACTCCCAAGAATGTCTGTATCATATTTGACGCAGACAGCCAAAGTACGAGCATATGTAGTCTCCATGATCATGGGTCAGATAACATCTAGCTTTCTGAGACCCAACTACCAACTCGGGTGAATGGCGAAGCCTTGTTCCTAAATCGGACGCTGGCTCTATCACAGTGGACCCACGGATAACTGACGCCTCCAAGATGTTACAATTGCCATGGGAAACCATAGTAACAACGCATCTCCAAGGCTCACAGTGCCTGGTTTTAGTG